TGTGCATGTGAGTATATGAACGTGAATGTGTAAGCGCACAAGTGTAAGTGCATGAGTGTTAGTGTGTGCATGCATAGGAATGTGTGTAAATCTGGTTGTGAGAGTTTGACTGTGTGTGTGGGGAGGGCTGCAAGTGCTGAGAGCTGTCAAGAATGAGGACTTTTATTTCTCCTTATCAATCTCTAGATCCTGCTTTATTTTATCCTCTCCTAAGTCTTATGCAAACTTAAGACAACTCAGGTTGAGACCCTCTATTACTGTCAAAAGCCATTACTCGCCTCGGCCTCCCAAAGTGCTGGGATTACAGGTGTGAGCCACCGCGCCCAGTCTCATTTTATCACGTGATGTCAGATTTACTTCATATCAGCATTTAAGTATTGTTAACTTTATGTAATAGCATTTGGGTTGGGGACTGGTGTGTTTCCACTTGTACAAAGGATAGCTGTATTAGATGTAATTATGACCTTATTATTGTCATTATTTGAAGATTATGAATGATCTCAGGAGATGTGTATGTGTTCAACTTGACAAGGGGTGGACTTGTGATGGTTAATACAGTCAACTTGATTGGATTAAAAGATGCAAAGTACTGATCCTGAGTGTGTCTGTGAGAGTGTTACCAAAGGAGATTAACATTTGAGTCAGTAGGCTGGAAAAGGCAGACCCACCCTTAATCTAGGTGGGCACCATCTAATCAGCTGCCAGCACAACCAGAATATAAAGCAGGCAGAAAAACATGAAAAGACTAGATTGGCTTAGCCTCCCAGCCTACAGCTTTCTCCCATGTTGGATGCTTCCCGTCCTCGAACATTGGACTCCAAGTTCTTCAGCTTTGAAATTCGACTGGCTTCCTTTCTCCTCAGCTTGCATATGGCCTACTCTGGGACCTTGTGATCATGTGAGTTAATACTACTTAATAAACTCCTATTATAGATGTGTGTGTGTGTGTGTGTGTGTGTGTGTGTGTACCTCCTATTAGTTCTGTCCCTCTAGAGAACCTGGACTAATAAAGAGAACAAGATAGAGGAGGAAATTGTACTTTTTACATATATCAGAGGCCGATTGTACTTTTTACATATATCAAATATTTGCAAGTCTTGCTAATTCACAATTTGGGTTTATTAGCTAGAAGAATCTCACTACCACAGGTAGACTCATCTTCAGTTTATTGTCCAATACAGAAGGTCTGCCATCCTAGCTTCCTGTTTGCCTACAAGTGGGCAGAGTCATTTTTAATCTTTCTTACTGTGAACATACTTCAATTAATTTAGAATTCTTGAAGTCCAGGCCAAGCACCTCTAGGGTAATATTTAGCATTCTATTTTATCCAGGTGTTCACTAACGGTTCCATATTAACTTGCTTCTGCAGATACAGTATAAATTCCTCATGGGCTAAAATCACACCTTATTTTGTATCTTCCCCTGTACCAACCACTAGCATAGTACTGAATACATAGTTCAAATGCTATTAACTCCACAATGATCTTAACTATGAAGATATGACTTGAAGAATTCTGAAACTCACTAAGCTAACCTATAAAAGGATACTAATTTGCTACTTATGTACTGAAATTAAAGCCCTAGTATGATGTTTGGGGTTGCCAAATACAGTGATATGGTAATTCGGTGGAGGCCAGCAAGGCCAATGCCATACTTCTCAGGGTAACTGGAATTGTGTCTTCAAAGGAGAAGTAATTCCCACTATCAACTGGGATACACAGGGTATCAGATTTGTGAGAAGAGCCCTTTTGTAGGCTCAAGGAGTGCCAGTGGCATTCAAGAAGGATGGAGGGAGAGAGGATTTTTGTCCCCAAGGGGCATCTGGCAACATTTTGAGACAGTTTTGGTTGGTGGTGGGGTGCTAATGGGATTTACTGGGTAGAAGCCAGGGATGCTGATAAAATAAACATCCCACAATGCACAGGACAACCCTCCACAACAAAGAATTATCTAGCTTAGAATGTCAATAGTACCAAGGTTGAGAACCCTTTCTTTCGTAGGCAATCAAGGGAATTCTTTGTCCTCTGTGCTCAGACCTGAACTTAAAGAGCAAAATCATCTAAGAGCTGTTTCTAAGACAAGTTAGAAAATTGGCACTGTCATCAGGAGGTGGCATCTCTAGTTTAAAAAAAATGCTGAAATTGAGTAGTCTTATTTTGTATATAAGATTATCCTTATGCTACTCTGTTTTCTACTTTTTTTTTTTTTTTTGAGACAGAGTCTTGCTCTTGTCGCCCAGGCTGGAATGTAATGGCACAATCTTGGCTCACTACAACCTCTGTCTCCGGGGTTCAAGTGATTTGCCTGCCTCAGCCTCCTGAACAGCTGGGATTAAAGGTGCCCAGCACCACGCCCAGCTAATTTTTGTATTTTTAGTAGAGATGGGGTTTCTCCATGTTGGCCAGGCTGGTCTCGAACTCCTGACCTCATGATCCACCCTCCCAAAGTGCTGGGATTACAGGCGCGAGCCACTGCGCCCAGCCTGTTTTTTACTTTCATGTTTTAGAGATGGGGGTCTCACTGTGTTACCCAGGCTAGAGTGCAGTGGTGCAACTATAGCTCACTGCAGACTTGAACTCCTGGGCTCCAGAGATCCTCCGGCCTCAGCCTCCTGAGTAGCAGCAAGTAGAGGGGTACACAACCACACCCACATTTTTTTTTTTTTTTTTTTTTGAGACAGGAGGTCTCACTCTGTTGCCCAGACTAGAGTGCAGTTTTGCGATTTCGGCTCACTGCAAACTCTACCTCCCTGGTTCAAGCGATTCTCCCACCTCAGCCTCCGGAGTATCTCGGATTACAGGCGTGGGCCACCACACCTGGCTAATTTTTGTATTTTTTGGTAGAGATGGGGTTTCACCATGTTGGCCAGGTTGGTCTCAAATTTCTGGCCTCAAGCAGTCCTTCTGCCTTGGCCTCCCAAAGCATTGGGATTATAGGCATGAGCCACCACACCCAGGTACTACTGTGTGATTTTAATATCCAATGTTTTTTCTTCTATTACAAAAGTATCTTTACATACTTATCGTACCCTAAGCCATTGAAATTGTTCCATTTTAAGTTGTACTGACAAAGGATCCAAATTTAGTTTCTGCTCAGCTGTGTAGCGAAGTATTCAGGAAAGGGTTACATGTTCACACTTTGAGGCCAAGTGGTAGTAACTCCAAGGACAAAATGAACTGTCAAAAAACAGGGCTGCATAATCCATCCATTTTTCCCAACAGCAGAATCTCCTCCAATTATCAATTCTGGAGATTCCGGGGTTATTCAATTAAGAAGAGTAGCACATACTTCAGTTACATGACGACACTCGCAAAATACAAGCTGAAAATACAAAACTCCTCATAACGATATCAAGGGCCAACAAGGATTTTAAAAATTTAAGTGGGGCTGAACTGTGTGTAATTGGTGAAATGTTCAAGTTAACAATCCTTACATACGAAATCTCTCACTTCACTGACTTAATTCATTATTTGCTGAATAAACAATAAACTTCCAGCCAGTAGTCAAGAGCTGGCAATCTAGCTAGTAGGACATGACATATAATCATGAAACAGCAAAAACAGTATTCAAAGATTAAATTAGCAATACCCCAAAAAGTGTGTTAGAGTTAGCATAAAGCATAAAGAATTTCTGATGTAGTTTACCAAGATCTAAACTAAAAAGTCCACAATACAAAAAAGAACAGGGGTGCAATGATGCTGGGTTTTTTTTACCATCCTTGAAATTCTCCCATTAACCACAGCTTTCAGTTTTCAACTGCTCTTCGCCCTTAAATCTTCAGATTCCCTCCTTTGAATGGGATAGGTAGAGTAGATTAGAAGAAATATATTCCGAGGCTCTCTAAGAGTCTCTGGATGATTAACCTTCATGAAAATAACCTCATAGATAAGTAATTAGGATTTTTCACCCCATTTCTATAAACTTGGTAAGTAAACTTTTTTTTCTAGCGAACTTGGTGTATTAGTGACTGTAGAAAGTCTTTCTACAGCAACAGAAATTACTCTATATCAAGGCTGTTGCAAATTCCTGGCAACTCCCGGCAAGTTTAAGTTCTACCTAACTCATCTGTTCTGATTACATTTTCATTTCATCTGACGGAATAAGCAGCTCATCTCCTTTCCTAGAACTTTTAGTGTTCAATTGTCCCCCTCACTTCAGTTAAGGCCTGCCATGTCCTCCTCTCCGACAGTCCTTGACTTTGCCAATGGCATATTCATTTGCTCAAACAGATGTCACTGCAAAACAAAACAAACTTTTAACAAAAAGCAATCTGTTTGCATATTTGGGACCTTTAGTATGACAATATAGGACGTTTCCTCAGAAGAATTCACGGAGATTCGTTAAGGTTGGGGGTTTAATCTATCGATATTTTCCTTAGGTAGACAAAGACAACCTCTAAGTGCGCTCAGTTAATCTTTAACCGCTACATCATCGTCACCCAGGCACTAAGACAGAACTAGGGCATAACGAGTTTTATTTCCACCAGAGGCGCCTAGTAACTCCCAGGTTCAATGCTCCCAGGTGGCCGACATGTGATGTGCTCTACTTTTTGGGCTGGGGACATTAACCCAACAAACTGTGGTCACAAGGATCACGCGGATATTCTTGGGGACTTGGGGGATGCCTGGCGAAATGCGCTGTGCCTACGCCTCGAACTCTCGCCTGCTCTCCGGTGGGCGGCCTCCAACTCCAGCCTGCTCTCCGGCAGCCCACAGCAATGCGCCTGCCAAGACCTTAGGCTTCAAAACGCAGTGAGGCCCAGAGCTCGCCTCCAAGTGCGCCCCGCACCGGGCAGGCTTTCGGCGATGACTCGCGTCCCACCCATCTAGCCCTGGCCGCCGTCCCAACTCCCGCAGTTCACAGAGGCGGCGGCGGTGGTGAGCGCAGCCGATGCCACATCCCCAGCGGCAAGCTGAGGGAACCTGCCTCCTCTCCGGGGCAACCAAACGATACATCGGTGCCAGAACCGACCCGACGCCGGAATCCGGCGACGTCCTTACCGTCGCTCTCCAGGCACACGCCCCCGTCAAAGGCGGCTCTGCGGCCCTCTCGCGAGAGAGCGCCCATGGCACCTCCTTCCTCTCAGCTGTCTGTCTCTCCCCGCCCCCGGAGTGATTGCGCGGCTTCCTCCAGAGGGCGGGAACGTTGGACGTGGCGGGGCTGGGTCAGCCAGGGCGTTGGGCCTGGGGCGCTCGGCTCAGCCTCTCGGCAGGCTGGCTTTCTGCGCCGCCATAAAGCCCCCGACAGGCCCCACGCCTGCCCAGGTAGACCGGCGCCAGCCCGAGTGACGCGTAGCGTGTGGCCGCGAGCAGGCGACTCAGTGCGGCGGGGCGGGCGGGTGCCACACCTGTGCACGCGAGGGTGGGGCGGGAAGGTGCGCAGGCGCGCTCGGGGCTGGTGGGCGGTGGCTCGTGGGAAGTTGCGCAGCCGAACTGGCCGGCTGGGCGCGCGCGCTCGAGGTGGCGTAATCTCTCAGCCTTTCTGTGTCTCCTTTCCTCCGCCTCAGTTTGGGGCGGGTCGGGGGAATGACTGAGGAGATGGAGTCGTCGCTCGAGGCAAGCTTTTCGTCCAGCGGGGCGGTGTCAGGAGCCTCCGGGTTTTTGCCTCCTGCCCGCTCCCGCATCTTCAAGATAATCGTGATCGGCGACTCCAATGTGGGCAAGACGTGCCTGACCTACCGCTTCTGCGCTGGCCGCTTCCCTGACCGCACCGAGGCCACGATAGGGGTGGATTTCCGAGAACGAGCGGTGGAGATTGATGGGGAGCGGATCAAGGTGAGCGGATGGGGAACTGTTGGGGAGGACGGGATGACAGGTGTCCCAGCCCCACCGTGGGCTGGTCGCTGGCCCTGTGCACGGTGTGTGTGTGCTCCATTTTTTTCTCATGCTGATGAGATTGGAGTTGGGGATTGAAAGGATTCATATACTGCAAACTTCTGAGACACTGTTTTTCAGACTTCAGTGTGCATGCGATTTCCCTGGGGATCTAGTTGTTGAAAATGCAGGTTATGATTTAATAATCTCGCGGATGATGCAGGTGCAGCGAATCCGTGGACTACACTTTGAGTTCAAGAGTGTAGGGTTTATCTACCGACCCATTGACTGTGTGTCATGTGCTGGGAGTCAGTGAAATATGAACGAAGGAAAAACAGTGACATTTCGCTAGCATGGAAAACTCATTTAATCTGCAATAGTTATTAAACATTCATTTGAGCAGTGCCTTAGGTGTTGTGGAAGTAAAGCTCATTGCCTTTGAGGAAGTACTTAGGTATTCTCTTGCATACAGTTTTGCTATGGTAGTTTCTGTATGATACTGATTTTAGAAAAATCTGTTTTCCTGCAGAAATATTCTGTATGTGATAGTTCCTACTCAGGTTGCCAAAAGCATTTCTCATGATGCCACCTCAGACACAATCCTAATTCTTTATTCCCTTTAAGTCGTTATTGATGGTCCCTGGTACTGGGGACACTGAGTGACAGTAATAGTGGAGAAGGTAGTATAGGCCCCAGGGCAGGTTTGAGGTTCTGAGGGGTTGGAATGCAACAGTGAAATGAGGATCAATGACAAGGCTTAGGCCTCTTGATGGTATAAACCTTAGACACACCTTCATAGCAAGCCACCACTAAATGCCACCTGTTGATGCCACTCCTTAAAACATAGGTGGAACTACCCTGCCTTATACCACTGCTTTAAATCAGAGATCATCTTTACCTCAGTCTCTTGGTGGGGAGTGGTGGGAGAACAGGCTTGCTTCAGACATTCCTACCCCCATATCTTTGAGGCAAGAACAATTTATTTTTCAATTCCCTAATCATCGACCCCCACCCCAATGGGTTATACTGCTAATGATGGTAGAGGTCAAGTAAGCAGGGTTAAAAGAAATTAACCTTTCTTTGGTGCTTTTGTCTTTTAATTTTTCACATTAGTATTTCATGTCCCATATGAGCCCGCAGTGGTGGTTTTGGGGGTGCTTTGTATTAGGGAGTTTAGAAAGATTTGTATACTTGCAGAAGAAAAGATAGAATAAAAGGCTAAATATTTTTCACCAGAATTAGGTTTGGCCCAGAAGCCTTTGGGGTGAAAAATAATGGAACTTCTGAAGTTCGAAGGGAGTTCAGTTTGGGAGAAGCAGGGAATCTGGGAAGTACGTGGGCTTTGGAGCCCCACTAACCTGGATTCAAATCTGAACCTACGAAAGGGTAGGAATGGGCTGTGTGTCGTTACTAGGGTGACAGACTTTGCCCAAGACTGTCCAGGTTTTGAAACTGGGTCTCACATCCCAGTGACTCCCTGTATTGACCACACCAAAATAGTTGGTCACCATGGACCTTAGGCAGATTCTTTAACCTCTCAGAGTGTTTTTTTCTTCTGAAAAACTGGGATCATAATACCTTATTAGGCTGCTGTGAGGATCAGATGAGGGCATATATGAAGCACCTGGTTCATAGTTGGTACCTTTAAAAAGATTCTTTGTCTTTCCTGGTGGCTTAACATTATTTTTCCTATTTGCCACCATTAGTTCTGCAGTTGTACACCCAAAGATGAAAGCAGAGATAGTGGAGGGCATACGTAGACAGCTAAGGGGAGAGAAATTTCAAAAACAAAACAAAAACAAAACAGAAGTAGGAAAATACTTTCAAAAGTGGAGAGAATGAGGGTGGGGGAGGAGTTGGGATTTGAGGGCCCTTTATCTGTTCCTGGGTTGCTGTGTATACTTAAAGATCACAGACGAATCAGGTGCAAATTTAAGAGATCATAGTATTGAAAAAATACAAAGCATGTGCAGTGTATAAAGTCAATTACCTAACTACTGAGGTGAGTGCTGGCAGTGATAAATAAGACAGAACCACAGGTATGACAAATCTGGGAGCACAGAGTTGATAATTCTGGTTGGGAAGAGCAAGGAGAAAATATTTTTGGGGGGATTACTTCTACCGAACTTTAGCCTAACCTGCTATATTGATGTGCACTTGGATACTGAGATTGTTTTTCTTCTAAGGCCCTAACCATTGATTTGTGCCACCAGTGGTGAGACTTGAGATTTTTATTGTGGTTGAAATGACTATAGACATGTTCTGAGGTTTCTATAGTAGGAAAAGATATAGCTATGTTGGGCATTTTTTTAAAAACCACAGAGCTTAATTTTTTTTAGTGCCCTTTTTTTCTAAAACTGAAAAGTGATATAAAGAGCTTTATTCTGTGTGCTGCTTCTGCTGCTTTTCTGTTAACCTGCAATACATCTTAAGTGCTGCTGAAATGTTCGTATTATGTCTTTGGAAAATTGTAGCCTGATCTAAAATGATATTTTTCCTAGTTTCATCTTAAAGCTGGAAAGGTCTATGTTACTTTACTAGTAAAATGCCATTCTAGACATTATTTGTTTGATAAAAATGAGATATTGTGTTAAATGCTTTGATAATCGTGGACTAGAAAATTTTCAGAAAGCATGACTTAACGACAGTGCCCTTTCAGAATCCGTTAAAATGTTTTATGAAACGTAAGAAAGCCTATATCTGCTAATCCGTTCCTAAGCAATACGTGCGTGTAATTGAAAGAGGAAAATCTTGTTTGCGAAATTTCGGAAGTCGAATGAAATTATAAAATTAAATTCCTGAAATAAAAATACATTAGGCTTTTAAATTGAGACTCCTAACTCTAATCCTTATGCTCCTTCCTCGTGTGTGTATCCCCTTCATGACTAATTGTATTCCTTTTGCACAGTCATTTTCCAGTGACAGATACACACCAACCTATTAAAGCCTGGTGTTGTATTTAATCCAGCCTCCCATTAGAGGTCAGCAGTTCCTACTTGAACATTTTAGTCACTTACTTTTTTGTAGTGGTGGAAATGAAATGTTCCCATGTTAAGTGCAATTTAGTTAATATTAACATATTAACTAAAGGAAAATAATCAGGACCTCTCCCCACACTGATAAAACAAATATTTAATGAGTAATTGCTGGAAAGAAGACATTTTGATAAGCATAGAGAATTATGATACAGTACAAAGGTTAGCAAACTATGCTTGAGGGCCAAAAATGGTCTGTTGCCTGTTTTTACATGGCCACAATCTAAGAATGATTTTTTACATTTTTTAATGTTTAGGGAAAATATCGTAAGATTTCATCACACATAAAAATCATATGAAATTCAAAATTCACCTAGGTTGTACTGCTGTAATCCTTCTTATCCTTGTAGTGTCACCCCTCTCCTTTGCTTTCTGAGTCCAATTGGTTTTCCACCTGCACACTTTCTGTTAATTGTCTTGTCTTCAACATTCTAGTTCAAGTCCTTTTTTTAACCTCTCTTTGAACTGTTGGAGCAGCTTAACAGTTGCAGCAGCTCACCTGTTCTCCCAGTGCTCAATTAATCTATTTTGTACATTGTTGCCGAAATGCCAGATTAATGTTGTACTTCAAAGAGATTTATCTCCCCTGACTCAAGTGCCCTGGGTGGTTCCCCATTATATTATAAAATTTCAGCTGAGTTTTGTGGCTTATGCCTGTAGTCCCAGCTACTCCAGAGGCTGAGGTGGGAACATTGCTTAAGGCCAGGAGTTCAAGGGTACAGAGCACTATGATCGAGACACTCCAACAGAGCCAGATCCTGTCTCTGTCCCCCACCCTTTAACACTTTTATTTTAGGTTCAGGGGGTACATATGCAGGTTTGTTGTATAGTTAAATTCATGTCACAAGGCTTTGGTGTACAGATTATTTTGTCACCCACATATTAAGCAGAGTACCAATAGGTATTTTTTCTGATCTTCCTCCTCCCACCTTCCACCCTTCCGGAGGCTCCAGTGTGTGTTCCCGTCTTTGTGTCCCTGCAGTATTTAGTTTTCTGTTCCTGCATTAGTTTGCTTAGGATAATAGCCTCCGGCTCCATGTTGCTGCAAAGGACATGATCTTTTTCTTTTTATGGTTGCATAGTGTTCCATGTTATGTATATACCACATTGTCTTTATCCCGTCTACCACTGATGGGCATTTAGGCTGATTCCATGTCTTTGCTATTATAGATAGTACTGTAATGAACATACATGTGTAGATGTCTTTATGGCAGAATGATTTATGTTCCTTTGAGTATATACCCAATAATGGGATTGCTGGGGCAAATGATAATTCTGTTTTTAGCTCTTTGAGGAATCACACCACTTTCCGCAGGGGATGAACTAATTTACACTCCCACCAGCAGTGTTGTCTTTTCTCTGCAACTTTGCCAGCATATGTTATTTTTTGACTTTTTAATAATAGCCATTCTGACTGGTGCAAGATAGTATCTCATTGTGGTTTTGATTTACATTTCTCTAATGATTAGTGATGTTGAGCATTTTTTCATATGCTTTTTGGCCACAGGTATGTCTTGTTTTGAAATGTGTCTGTTCATGTCCTTTGCCCCCTTCTTAATGGGGTTGTTTCTATTAGGAACAGATCCCATCTCAAAAAAAAAAAAACAAAACTTGCAACCAGCCGGATTCCAGTGGCTCACACCTGTAATCCCAGCACTTTGGGAGGCCAAAGATCACTTGAACCCAGAAATTCAAGACTAGTCTGGGCAACTTAGTGAAGCCCCATCTTTACCAAAAATTTTAAAAAATTAACCAAGTGCAGTGGCATGCACCTGTAGTCTGAGCTGCTCAGGAGGCTGAGACAGGAGGATTGTTTGAGCCCAGGAGTTGGAGGCTGCAGTAAGCCATGATCACACCACTGCACTCCAGCCTGGGCAAGAGAATGAGACACTGTCTCTTAAGAAAAAAAAAGTCTCCTCACACCTT